TAGAATGACCATCTAATTTGGCTTTTTATTATCCTGTCTTAACATCCCATAAACGGATACTGTCATCCCAACTACCAGATGCTAATGTAGTACCATCAAGAGAGAAATTGACTGAAGTAACATAATTTGAATGACCATCTAATTTAGCTTATTATTACCCTGTCTTTACATCCCATAAACGGATGGACTTATCTTCGCTACCAGATGCTAATGTAGAACCATCAGACGAGAAGTTGACTGTCCAGACACTTTTAGAATGACCATCTAATTTGGCTTTTTATTATCCTGTCTTAACATCCCATAAACGGATACTGTAATCCCAACTACCAGATGCTAATGTAGTACTATCAGGAGAGAAATTGACTGAAGTAACAAATCTTTAATGGCCTAGTAGTTTGGCTTTTTATTATCCTGTCTAAACATCCCATAAACGGATAGAACAATCTCCCCCACCATATTTAGCTCCACCACCAGATGCTAATTTAGTACCATCAGGAGAGAAATTGACTGAATAAACCCAATCTTCATGACCATCTAATTAGGCTTTTTATTTTCCTGTCTTAACATCCCATAAACAGATATACTTATCTCTACTACAAGATGCTAAAGTAGTACCATCAGGAGAGAAGTCGACTGTCCATACACTTTTGGAATGACCATCTAATTTGGCTTTTTATTATCCTGTCTTAACATCCCATAAACGGATAGAACAATCTCCCCTACCATATTTAGCTCCACCACCAGATGCTAATTTAGTACCATCAGGAGAGAAATTGACTGAATAAACCAAATTTGAATGACCGTTTAATTTGGCTATTTATTTTCCTGTTTTTAGATTCCTTAAATACACAAATTCTTCACTGCTGAAAGCTAATGTACTATTATTAGGTGAGAAGCATACTGAGTTTACCTCGTCTGTTCCCCTTATTTTTAGCTTTTTTTTCCCAGATTTAACTTCCCACAATAAAATTGAATAATCCTTACTACAAGAAGCTAATGACTTACCATCTGGAGAAAAGCATACCTATTTGACAATTCCACCATGACCATCTAATTAATTCAACTGATGAATTTTGATATTTTTCCATTTACAATTAAACATTTAAGCTTAATTCAAGTTTATTCCACTAATATCTACATTGTCAAATTCTGATCCACTCATATTGCATCTTACAAAATTTCCACCAACTAAAGAGGTATCTCTAATCCTGATATTCTCAAAACTTTATTCCCTCAAATCAGCCTTCATCTAAACTAGCAAATAAAGTGAATTCGATCCACACTATGTGTATCTCTCATCTAAGGCAGTCAGATGAACTAAAAATTTGAGAAATTCTATGACTTTCTTATCCCATGATATTTTTATGATCAGATCCTTTTTAAATTCTTCACAATCATCTATCGAGTAATTCACTGTATTAAATTCATGCTCTTTTATTATTTAGAGAACATTTAAAACTTTCTTAATGTTGCTTTTAGCAGCGTCTATTTTCCAATGCTAATCAAAAGGCTATAAATTGTCGCATAAAACAATGTATTTTTTGTAACTAAGTTGATTTTAATTATTGGAAATAAATTTTAGAGAATCTGAATCTCCATCCTTTAAGAGCATTTCAATTATTAAATTGTAGATTTTACCATCTATATCTTCAATCAATTATAACACCTTAAACAAGTCATCTTTCCTGTTTTGAGTCATAATTGTTAAATATAATAAAGAATTTCTATTGCTTTTATTTTGAAATTTATACTAACCAAAAAGGAATTATTTAAAAAAGAAGTTCAAATTTTTTTTTAAGATTGCACAATTCCTCAAAGAAAAATATAATAGTGGATGAAGTGAAAAATGTAAAAGGAATAGTGATTATTAAATGTAATGATGTAAAATAGAAATAAGGGTTTGGGTTTGGGGTTTGGGTTTGGGTTTGGGGTTTGGGTTTGGGTTTGGGTTTGGGGTTTGGGGTTTGGGGTTGGG